ATACTATAATCACTAAGTCATCAACATAATTGTGGACAATATAATAAATATATATATATTATATATTTAATATTATCTTAATTATTTTTAGTAAAAATCAATGTATAAAAAAGTAAAATAAATTCTAAGAATTTATAATAGTAATTTTTTATTATTTATTTTTATATTTACTTATCTGAATTGCACACGCATTACTACTTTTTGACTTTTTATGAAATATAGGTTGTGTTTGGATTGGGTTTGAAGTGATGTGGTAGATAGAGAGGTGATGTGACTTAATTAAGATGATGTGATTTAAATAGGATAGTGACTTTTTGACTTTTTAGTTTTTTTAGGTTATGACAAATAAAGCCCAAATAATATTTTATAAAAGCCATAAAAATCAATAAATAAGAAGAATAAAAACTATAGTAGAGAAATATGCCTTTTGATCATCCACAGGTTGCCCAATACTACAACTAATGAGCAAAGCACATGTGAAGCTGATCAAAAGAAGCCATGAAGTAGGAGGTATATGACTAGCCATTAAAGGGTACCCCGAAAGCTTTAGATTATACAAACTTGTGCTATTGGTTTTTTTTTTTTTCTTGTAAAAAAAAAAACTAAAATTTAAAAATTGTTTAAGACATGGAAATGCTTTAGACACTTGGAAAGACACATCTGAAATAAAAAGTTTGAACAAAATAACTTAGGATCCAACAATAAAAGAAAAATAATGTAAATTTATACCTATTAATGCATCAACTATCAAACTTCAAAAATTGGTGTTATGTTATTTTTATTATCTTTGAATGAAGTTTTCATATATATGACATATCAAACTATACATGTATAAACTATATATTGTGTATGTTCTCCACGTGTCGTGTTGTGTAATTTTTTTTAAAATTGCCATGTTGTCCTATCTATGTTGTATCATGTGACCATGCTTCTTAGCTCTTTAATTTGAAGAATGACTCGTAATTGATAATGAGAGTAGAGAAACAATCTTTTACGCAGAGAACTAGGACCTAGGAAGCACAGACACCTTTCCCATACCTATGTATCAGTGTCCTACACATCAGTATGCTCTAGTTCTCTTCTTTTTTCTTTTGTTTTTCTTCTCCTGTCTTATTTAACAAGGTAATTTTGAAGCTGCTGAGTATCCTTCAGGTTGGCACTGTTTTAAATTCTAAGGATGCAAAAAATGCCATAAATGCTGGAGCCAAATTCCTCATGAGTCCTGCCATGGTGAAGGTATACATCACAAGAAGTTGAAAATAGCATTCTTCTATAACATGAAATATTTCATTGTGTGAATCTTGAAATCACTTTCTTTCTTTCATTTCTTGTTTTGAAATTATCCTTTGATTTTATTTATTCATCCCTGCCTGAACCTTATGAACTAATTCTGATACACTGTAATGTACATCACTTCTTCAATTAAAATATTTTCAACGGTCTTCAGGATATTATGGATGATGCTCAAGGCAGTGAAGCTCTTTACATACCAGGTGTAATGACCCCAACAGAAGTAAGAGTATTCAACAAATTTAATTCTCATCTTTTTTGTTCTTCTTTTACTTAACAAAATAAATTGGGCTTACACTATATTTTCATGGTTTATTTAGATATTATCTGCGTATGACTCTGGCGCCAAAATTGTCAAGGTGGGTGTTAACTGTTTTCTAATGTTTAGATAAGTAATTTTCTAGATGTCAATTTGTACCGCACACAAATTGTTCAATTTACACAGTAACACAACACAATTTGAGACCACAAACCAACATTTCTCATTATTATATCTATATATATACATATATAGTTATCTATATACCTCCAAAATGGTTTTGTCCCTGTTGCTTTATAACCAACTATGTCCCACAACAAAAAGAAAAGAGGGGAGGGGATCTTGAGAGCTTCTATACACAAGAGTCGTCATTCAGACCTCATTATTTGTTTGCACCAGTTGTTTGGTGGAGGCTTGCAAACAAAATCTGTATGATTTTAGATCTTGATGGGCATTTGGAGGACCCTTTTGCTGCTAGTGCCATTCAGTTTTCCACATTTTCTGATGCCTATCTTCCAGTTGGATGCAGTGTATAATCGTCTATGCTTCGTAAACAAGCTCTTAAATCCTGGTTTTTGAGACCACTTGTTGGTTCTAAGAAACATTATTCCATGTTAACTAAAGAGGTCTTGTTTACAACTCAATGAACCTTTTTATGCATATCAATAATCAATGTTACTAATTATTTCTTGAATACTTATAGATTTAGTTGTGGACATACTGCACTTAAATTTCTTAGTTAAATATATCTGCATCATGATGTTCTGTAAGCTAATTTATTATCTATAGCACATTACTTAAGTTATCCGCAAATCCAATTTCAGAAAGCCTTCGTAATACTTGAATGTGTAGATAAAGTATGAGCAATCTAAATAAATTCTATGATGCTTCATTCCTTAGAATTCTACATGTGAAGCTTTTGTTTGACATGGGCTGGCTCTAAATTTAGATTGGCAGATACCTAATGCAAAATATTCTTCTTTTTTTTTTTTTTAATATGATTTCATATCAATAATAGGTTTATCCTGTTTCTGTATTAGGTGGCATTCCGTACATATCAACACTAAACAGGCCTTTTTCTCATATTTCGATGATTGCTTCTCAGGGCATAACAATTGGTTGGTAATTTGAATCTCATTTTCTTGGTTATAATCCTGCATGTTTCATTTGCTTTATGTTCCATGATTACTTTGAAGGAAAATAAAAAAATAAAATAAAATAAAATAAAATAAAAAATAAAAACTTTGATTATTCTTTTAGCATGTCACAAGTTTGTTGCTTTCAATTTAGGGCTGAACATAGGTTTTTGACAAAAAGAAAGAACCCTAATTATTTGGTGTTGGGTTATCTGAGAAGAAGAAATGCAATTACCTTCAACCTTGCATTCATCAACCTGCATCCGTCAAATAGTCCTTGTGGACAAAATTTTCTTGGAAATTCCTTAAAAAATCTCAAAATTTTTATCTTTCAATCATGTGAGCTATTTTTCATTTTTGGCATAGCGTGCATGTGTATCTCTACCAGAGGGTTTTGTAAAAGAAATACCCAATAGCATTTATTGTCATCTTCAATAGTAATGTATTTTAGGATTAAGGCACACCAGAAATCAATCACACACACCGAAAAGAGAAAATATTTACGCGGTTCGGCAATTACCTATGTCCACGAAGAGATTTCACTATAAAATTTCCCGGAGGGAGATTACAGAACTCACACTCACTTTCTATAGATTTACACACTCTCTCTAATTCTCTCTTGCTCTGTCTGTGTTGTGTTTCATCTTTTCCTCATCACCTTAATTTATACACAAATAAGAGGGAACAAAGTCAAGGAAGAGGAGTAATTGGAAGGGTTGCCACCTGTCATCTCCCCTCCTACTTCTTGACTTGGAGCCAACCTCCAACTACTCCTCCATGTGGGCTGGAGCCAACAATTCACCTCCTCCACGCCCATATGGATAACTGACTTCTTATTTGAAGTCTAACCTGGTCCGATTCTTGCAAACTTCCAGTTTGTCTCTGGTGACAACCTTGGTCATCATGTCAGAAGGATTCTTGTCCATGTGAATCTTCACCAGTTTCATCAGCTACTTTTCCATCACATCTCGTATCTAGTGATACCGGACATCAATGTGCTTTGTACGTGAATGGTACATGGAATTCTTACTTAGATCAATTGCACTCTGACTATCACAATGTACCTTGTACTCTTCCTACTGTAAATCCAATTCTTGGAGAAACCACTTTAACCATAACATTTTGTTTCCAGCATCTGTGACAGCAATGTACTCTGCCTCTGCCTCTGTCTTTTTTTTTTTTTTTTGGTGAAAAATACTCTGCCTCTGTTGTAGATAAATCAACACACTTTTGTAGTTTGGACCACCATAAAACAGCTCCCCATGCAAAGGTGAATAAAAATCATGATGTAGACTTTCTACCATCAAGGTCACCCGTCATATCGGCATCTTTAAAACTCTCCAAAATTGGTTCAGCTCCCCCAAAACATAGACACATCTTTGAAGTTCCCTTCAAGTATCGAAGAATCCATTTGATTACCTCTCAATGCTCATTTTCTGGATTGACGAGGAATCTGCTTACAACGCCAACTGCGTGAGCTATATCTGGCCAGGTACACACCATTGTATACATCAAACTCCCTACTACAGATGAGTAAGGAATTGCCTCCATCTCTTCTCTTTCATTTGTATATGAGGGACAAGAACTCTTGCTCAGCTTGAAATTGTTAGCCAGAGGAGTATTGACTGGCTTGGCATCTTTCATGATGAACCTTTCAATCACCCGTTCAACATATTTTTTCTGTGACAGCCATATCTTCTTGACTTTCCTGTCACGAACAATCTTCATGCCCAAAATTTGTTATGTTGGACCTAAATTCTTCATGTCAAAATACTACGACAAGTCCTATTTCAACTTGTTGATCATAGCAGTATCTTGTCCGATGATCAGCATATCATCGACATACAATAGTAGGATGATGAAGTTTCCATCCGAAAACCTTCGGAGATACACACACTAATCTACTACTGTTCATGTGTACTCGTGATCCATTATGAATGAATCAAACTTCTTGTACCATTGTCTCAGCGCCTGTTTCAGGCCATAGAGACTCTTCTTCAGTTTGCAGACTAGATTTTCTTTTCCTTTAACTTCAAATGTTTCTGGCTGCTCAATATAGATCTCTTCCTCCAAGTCACCATAGAGAAAGACAGTCTTGACATCCATTTGTTCTACCTCCAAATTCAAGCAAGTTGTTAATCCCAGAGCTACTTAAATGGAACTTATCTTCATAATTAGAGAGAAGATCTCATCAAAATCAATTCCCTTCTTCTGCCCAAAACCTTTGACCATCAAGCGAGCTTTATGTTGCAATATTTTACCGTTGCCGGCTTTTTTTAATTTTTACACCATTTGTTTTTCAATGCCTTCCTGTCTTTTGGAAGTGAAACAAGCTCATAAGTGTGGTTCTTCTACAAATAACTCATCTCCTCCTTCATGGCTTGCATCCAACAATCTTTCTGTGGATGACTCTTTGCTTCCGAAAAACTCTCAGGCTCCCCTTCATCTGTAAACAGAATATACTGAGAAACGGGATATTTGATTGATGGCACGACAACTTTTCCAAATCTCCTCAACTGAGGCCCAGTTGCCTCTGGTTGAAGAGGTTACTCCCCCTGCTCAACACCCTCTTCATCTGAGTCTTCATCTCTTTCATCTTGATCCTCATCTTCTGGCATTGGATTTTGCAGCTCTAGCACTTCTTGTTGCACCTCATCAACTCTAGCATGTTGTGAGGGTTCTGGAGATGGAAACAAGTCTTGAGTGATAACAACTCTAGACTTTGCTGATTTCTCAAAATCTGCTATGGTCTGGTCTTCATGGAACCCAACATCTCTGCTCCTGAACATTTTCTTGTTCACTGGGTTCCACAACTTGTACCTAAATACTGCATCTAAATAGCCCACAAATATACATGGAGTGGACATGTCATCAAGCCTCTGTTTGTTTTCTTTGGAGAAGTGTGTGAACGCCTTACATCCGAAGACTCTCAAGTGAGAATATGATACCTTTCTTCTGGACCAAACTTCCTTAGGTATCACAAAATTCAACGGGACTGAAGGTGACCTGTTGATGAGGTAACAGGCTGTACGGGTGGCTTCAGCCCATAATGACTTTGGCAAATTTGCCATTCTGAGCATGCATCTGACTCTTTCAATAATAGTGTGGTTCATCCTCTTTGCCACACCATTGTGTTGTGGGGTACCGGGAACTGTTATCTCGTGCCGGATACCTCTGCTAGCACAATATGCTTCAAAAGCACTGGAAGTGTACTTGCCACCATTATCTGTGCGAAGACACTTCAACTTCTTTCTGGTCTCTTTTTCCACCATTGCATGGAACTCCTAAAAGTGCTGGAATACCTCATTCTTCGTCTTCAGGAAATACAACCACAACTTCCTTGATGTATCATCAATGAAAGTTAGAAAATAATTGCGGCTGCCAAGTGACTCCACTTCGATTGGGCCACAAACATCCAAGTATACCGTACTGAGCACTTCAGTTTTCCTCTTGCTCGTTAAACTAAATGATACTCGATGCTGCTTTCCATAAAGGCAATGATCACACGACTTCAGGGCACTCTCTTTGGATAAGGGTATCTTGGATTGCTTTGCTAACAGATGCAATCCCTTCTTATTCATGTGAGCCAGTCTTCTGTGCCATAAGTCCGGTGACTCCTTGTCTTCTGCTGCATTAAGGCTTTCCAGACAAATCTTCGTTTGAGTCTTGTACAGTGTTGAAGACATCTCTCCTCTGGCGATTGTCAAAGCTCCTCCTGTCAACTTCTAACGGCCATTTTTTAATGTACTTGTATAGCCTTGTTGGTCCAGGGCACTTTTGGAGATAAGATTGAGGCGCAAATCAGGAACATGCCTCACATCTTTAAGAATCAGCTTGTGTCCAACATTAGTCTAAATACTAATGTCTTCAATGCCCACAGTCTTTGATAGCTAGAATTCCCTATTCGAACAGTGCCAAAATCTCCAGCGTTGTACGAGCTGAAGAGTTCTCTATGAGAAGTGGCGTGATATGATGCAGCTGTGTCTAGCACCCATTTTGTGTAGCTATGGTCAGCCACGTGAAGGCAATCTTCCTTTTTATCAACTACAAGAAGTATTTCATCAGTTGTTGTGGCCGTCGTGTTCTCTTCTCCTTTTGACTTACTGTTTTGGCCTTTATCTTTCTGGCTTAGGCAGTTCCTCTTTATGTGACCCTCCTGGCCATAGTGAAAGCAAGTGAAGCTAGAGTTACCTTGACTTGTACTGTCTCTGGATTTACTCTTGTTGTTTCATTTGCCTCTACTCTTGCTTCTTTCTTTGCCTCTTCTTCTACCTCTGTCTCTGCTTCTATCTTTTGTAACAAGAGTGTGGGTCTGATAACCTCCTATGTCTTTCCTCATTGTCACTTCATTGTACATGAAGTCTGTGACCATGCTCATGGTCAACTTCCCCTCTGGTGCAGAGTTGCTGACAGAAACCACCAACGTCTCCTAGCTGTCTAGTAAAGAACTGAGTAGTAGTACAGCTTGCATTTCATCATCCAAGGGCATCTTGATGGTTGCAAGTAGATTCACCAAATCTTTGAATTCATTGGTGTACTTGGCGACTGACACATCATTCATCAACTTCAGATTTACAAGCCTTCTCATCACCAAGGCTTTATTTCGGGTGGTCTTCCATTGGTATATTCCTTCTAACATTGTCCAGAGGACATATGCATCTGTTTCCTGGGCGACATGGTGGAACACATTATGGTCTATCCATTGTCTGATTTGACCGACAGCCTTCTGGGTCATCTTTATCTAGTCTTCATCCTTTTCTGCTTTCGGTTTAACCCTTTTTAGAGCAATATGATCAAATAGGTCTTTACAGTATAGGATGTCTTCTATCCGCGGCTTCCAGATTCCGTAGTTGGATGCATTTAATTTGATCATCAATCCCGAAATTTAAGTAGATTCTTTCATCGTCTTCTTACTTTTTACAGAAACTCTAAATCAAAAATCTGACCATGAGGATCTCTCTGGAATACTCTAAATAATTGGAAACCACTATTGGATCACCAAAATCGGACTTCAAATGGCTCAAATCTAGCCAAAATATGTTCAACGGTTCAAATCTACAGATTACCGTAGCTGCGTTGCATCGGATAACCCCTTCGTATATGGGTTGGGTTGAGTCAACCTGACTAGTTGACCGGTCAACTAGTGCGCTAACATGGCAGACACGTCTATGGCACCTGGCGCTGACGTGGCAATGACGTGGCGATAATGTAGCACTGACGTGGTGATGACGTCACTATCACGCGCAGAGGACTCTCCTTCTTCCTTCCGCCATGCGTTGAGCATGCTTGAGACTAGTATGATGTGCCGGTATTGTCAATGGCGAGTGTGGCGCGTGTCTAAGATTGAGACTTACGCGCCTTCTTAGGTGGCACATGAGAGCACATGGAAACTTGTCTGGGGCTCGGCTTTGCAGTTTTGGACTCCTTTCGTCGAGAGCTTTCTTCCTGTATACTCAAAAGTGAATTTCGAGGAACTTGATTTCTGGGCAATTCTGAAAAACATACCCTGTTTCTGAAAATCGACCAACAAGGCTCTGACACCACTTGTTAAGATTAAGGCATACCAGAAATCAATCACACACATAGAAAGGAGATAAAATATTTACGTGGTTCGAAAATTGCCTACATCTACAGAGAGATTTCACTATAGAATTTCCCGAGGAAGGTTACAGAATTGACATTCACTTTCTATAGATTTACACACACTCTCTCTGATTCTCTCTTGCTCTGTCTGTGTTGTGTTTCATCCCTTCCTTATCACCTCAATTTATACACAAATGAGAGGGAACAAAGTCAAGGAAGATGAGTAATTGAGAGGGCTGCCACCTGCCATCTCCCCTCCTACTTCTTGACTTGGAGCCAACCTCCAACTACTCCTCCATGTGGGCTGGAGCCAACAATGTATGCCCAATAGCCTTTGTAATAGTTAAAAATTTGAACTGGCTTGAGAACTACAATATTGTTTTCTTCGAGTATAATTGATCTCTTGTACATCTGAATCATATCTTACATTTAGTTTGTTCAAGATTAATGATTTGTAGGACTTATTTTATTATTTTTTGTGAGGTGAATGAACATATGCTTGGAATTTGCTGCAGATTTGATAGGGGAATACATTGAAAATGGAGCATCAGCAGTTGTTTTGTCAGATGCTATATTTGATAAAGAGGCGATGGATCAAAGAAATTTTGATCAAATACGTCAACTTGCCCATCTTGCAGCTTTGCGGGGAAATAAAGCTATACAAAGGTGGGAATTTGAGTCTCCTGTTGCATATGATTTTTAGTTAACCATTATATTATTTTGTTGGTGATGTTAGAATTAGTAGAGGGGGAAAAAAAAGACAGAAGGAAGGAAAGAGAAATGATTTGAGACAATGAAGAGAAAGAAACTTAGGGTTCTCTCCCTCATTTGCTAATACTTATGTTAAATAAGTTCAAAGTACAAAGTACCTGTAGGTAACATAACATATCTTGTTACAGTTGTTGATACTATTTCTAAGTGTTAACAAGTTATGCTTTCGGCATTTTTATAAAAGCCACTACTGCCCTGGCAATTGTTCTAGCATTCTTGAGTTTGTTGGTATTCCATCTTCTTGAGTTCGTTGATATTTAGATACATTCTAGACTTTCCTTCTTCTTGTTTATGAATGAAGTTTGAATAACCAATGAATCAATGCTTGAAGACGTTAAAGTTGTTCCCCTATTTTTTGGGACTCATGCTTCATTGTTTGTAGGTTCTAATTGATTCATGTATATTTGTAGGAAGAGAGTGTAATCTCAACTAATTTTATGAATCTTAAGTAGTTCGTATTTTACTTCTCAAGTTCATGCTAATCTCTCAAGTGCATCAAACGAGTTTATTGACAATGGGTGCAAGCTGCAAACTATGGGTATGTACTCTTCCCTTCAATTATTTAAATGCCACTTCCAATTTAGTGGCCTTGTTTGGTTTGTGTTTTGAGGTATTATTTCAAAAATAATTTTTTAAAGAGAATTTAAAAAATTAAAAAAAATACCCTAAGTTCTTTAGGATCTTTATCCAGTCTTCATCCTTCACTTTTTCCAGTTTAACCCTTTTTAGAGCAATAGGGTCAAACAGGTCTTTATAATATAGGATGTCTTCCATCTGCGGCTTCCATATTGCATAGTTAGAAGTATTCAACTTGATCATGGATCTTGAAGTTGAAGTAGATTCTTTTATCATCTTCAAACTTTTTTTATAGAAACTCTAATTCAACGATCTGACCGTATGGATCTCTCTAGAATACTACAAACAGTTGGAAACCATTATTGGATCGTCAAAATCGGACTTCAAATGGCTCAGATCTAGCCAAAATAATTTTGACGATTCAAATCTGCGGAGGTACCTTAGCCGCGTAGCACCAGATAATCCCTCTGCTTTTGGGTCAGGTCGGGTCAGCCCGACAAATTGACCAGTCAACAAGCGTGTTGACGTGTTAGACATGTGTCTCTAATGTGGCTCTAACGTGTTAATGACGTGTCACTGATGTGCCAGACACGTGGCTCTCGCCTAGGCTGATGTGTCTATGACGTGACTGCCAGATGATGTGTGACGTGGCAGTAACGTCATGAACTCGCGCACACCACTCTTCTTTTTCCTTCCCCCATGGCGCGTGCCTCAGACTTGTGTGATGCGTCAATACTGTCAACGACGCGCGTAACACGTATCTAAGACTGAGATTCACGCGCCTTCTTTAGGTGGCGCGTGAGAGCGCATGGAAGATTGTCTGCGGCTCGGCTTGGTAGTTTTTGACTCATTTGGTCAAGAACTTCCTTTCTGTATGCTTAAAAGTGAATTTCGAGAAACTTGATTTCTGGGTAGTTTTCAAAAACACACCCTATTTTTTTGAAAATCGACCAACAAGGCTTTAACACCACTTGTTAGGTTTAAGGCACACTAGAAATCAATCACACACGTAAAGCAGAAAAGATATTTACGTGGTTCAGCAATAGTCTACGTCTACGGCAGAGATATCCACTATAGAATTTTTCCTGAAGGGAGTTTACAACACTCACATCTTACTCTCTCTCTATAGCACTCTCACTCACAAATTACACTCTGTTATGTCTTTATCTTTTCTTGATGATCTAACTTAGCTCACCTTTTCCCATTTTATACACAAATGAGAGGGAATAAAGTCAAGGAAGATGAGTAATAGGGAGGGCTGCCACCTGCCATCTCCCCTCCTACTTCTTGACTTGAAGAGCCACCCAGCCAACCTCCAACTACTCCTCCAAGTGGGCTGGAGTTAACAGCTTCTTCTTGTTTATAGATGAAGTTTGAATAACCAATGAATCAATTCTTGAAGACGTTAAAGTTGTTCCCCTATTTTTTGGGACTCATGCTTCATTGTTTGTGGGTTCTAATTGATTTATGTATATTTGCAGGAAGGGAGTGTGTAATCTTAACTAGTTTTATGAATCTTAAGTAGTTCGTATTTTACCTGTCAAGTTTATGCTAATATCTCAAGTGCATCAAACGAGTTTATTGACAACCGGTGCAAGCTGCAAACTGTGGGTATGTACTCTCCCCTTCAATTATTTAAATGCCACTTCCAATTGAGTGGCCTTGTTTGGTTTGTGTTTTGAGGTATTATTTCAAAAATACCCTCAGTTCTTTAGGATCTTTATCTAGTCCTCATCCTTCACTTCTTCCGGTTTAACCCATTTTAGAGCAATAAGGTCAAATAGGTCTTTATAATATAGGATGTTTTCCATCCGCGGCTTCCAGATTGCATAGTTGAAAGGATTCAACTTGATCATGGATCTTGAAGTTGAAGTCGATTCTTGCATCGTCTTCTTACTTTTTACAGAAACTCTGATTCAACGATCTGACTATACGGATCTCTCTAGAATACACCAAATAGTTGGAAACCACTATTGGAACGTCAAAATCGGACTTCAAATGGCTCGAATCAGGCCAAAACAAGTTTGGCGGTTCAGATCTACGGATGTACCTTAGCCGCGTAGCACCGGATAATCCTTTTGCTTCTAGGTCGAGTTTGGTCAGCCCGACAGGATGACCAGTCAACAAGCGTGCTGACGTGTTAGACACGCGTCTCTAACGTAGCGCTGACGTGTCGATGAGGTGGCACTGATACGTCACTAACGTGTCTATGATATGGCAGACATGTGGCTCTGGCCTGGGTTGACGTGTCGATGACATAACTGCTAGATGGCGTGTGACGTGGCAGTGACATCACGAACACGCGTACATTGGCTCTCATTCTTCCTTCTGTTGCGCGTAGGGCGCTTGCTTAAGACTGGTGTGATGCGCCGATACTGTCAACGGTGCGTGCGACACGTGTCTGAGACAGAGACTCACACGCCTTCTTTAGATGGCGCGTGAGAGCGCGTGGAAGATTGTCTGCGGTTTGGCTTTGCAGTTTTGGACTCCTCTCGTCGAGAGCTTCCTTCCTGTATGCTTAAAAGTGAATTTCGAGCTTCCTTCCGGTAATAGCCTCCGTCTACGAGAGAGATATCCACTATAGAATTTTTCTCGGAGGGAGTTTACAACACTTACACCACACACTCTCTTTATAGCACTCTCACTTACAGATGACACTCTCCGTTCTGTCTTTCTCTTTTCTAGATGATCTAACTCAGCTCATCTCTTTCCATTTTATACACAAATGAGGGGGAACAAAGGCAAGGAAGATGAGTAATTGAGAGGGCTGCCACCTGCCATCTCCCCTCCTATTTCTTGGCTTGAAGAGACAACCAGCCAACCTCCAACTACTCCTCCATGTAGGCTAGACTTAACACCTTCTTCTTGTTTATGAATGACGTTTGAATAACCAATGAATCAATGCTTGAAGACGTTAAAGTTGTTCCCCTATTTTTTGGGACTCATGCTTCATTGTTTGTCGGTTCTAATTGATTTATGTATATTTGCAGGAAGAGAGTGTGTAATCTCAACTAGTTTCATGAATCTTAAGTAGTTCATATTTCACCTATCAAGTTCATGCTAATCTCTCAAGTGCATCAAACGAGTTTATTGACAATCTGTGCAAGATGCAAACTGTGGGTATGTACTCTCCCCATCAATTATTTAAATGCCATTTCCAATTTAGTGGCCTTGTTTGGTTTGTGTTTTGAGGTATTATTCCAAAAATAATATTTTGAAGTGAATTTAAAAAATATAAAAAATACCCGCAGTTTTTTAGGATCTTTATCCAGTCTTTATCCTTCACTTCTTCTGATTTAACCGCTTTTAGAGCAATAGGGTGAAACAGGTCTTTATAATATAGGATGTCTTCCATTCGCGGCTTCCAGATTGCATAGTTGGAAGGATTCAACTTGATCATTGATCTTGAAGTTGAAGTAGATTCTTTCATCGTCTTTTTACTTTTTACAGAAACTCTGATTCAACGATCTGACCATACGGATCTCTTTGCAATACTCCAAATAGTTGGAAACCACAATTGGATCGTCAAAATCGGACTTCAAATGGCTCAGATCTAGCCAAAATAATTTCGACGGTTCAAATCTGCGAGTGTGCCTTATCGACATAGCACCAGATAATCCCTCTGCTTTTGGGTCGGGTCAGGTCGGGTCGAGTCAGCCCGACAGGTTGACCAGTTAACAAGCGTACGACGTGTCAGACACATGTCTCTCACGTGTCGATGACGTAGCAGACAAGTGGCTTTGGTCTGGGTTGACGTGTTGATGACATGACGGCCAGATCTCGTGTGACGTGGCGATGACATCACGAACAGGTGCACACCACTCATTTTCTTCCTTCCACCGCGCATAGGGCGCGTGCCTGAGACTGGTATGATGCGTCGGTACTGTCAACGGCGTGTGCGGCACGTGTCTGAGACTGATACTGATGCGCCTTCTTTAGGTGGCGCGTGAGGGCGTGTGAAGATTGTTTGCGGCTCGACTTTACAGTTTTGGACTCCTCTCGTCGAGAGCTTCCTTCCTGTATGCTTAAAACTGAATTTCGAGAACCTTGATTTCTAAGCAGTTTTGAAAAACACACCCTGTTTTTCCGATAATCCACCAACAAGGCTCTAACACCACTTGTTAGGCTTAAAGGACACCAGAAATCAATCACACACAGAATGAGAAAAGATATTTATGTGGTTCAGTAATAGCCTACGTTTACGGGAGAGATATCCACTATAGAATTTTTCTTGGAAGGAGTTTACAACACCCACACCTCACACTCTCTCTATAGTACTCTCACTCACAGATTACACTCTCTGTTCTGTCTTTCTCTTT